GGCCCTGATTCTTCTCCAGCACACACACTTGATCTCCATGTCCAAAAAAAATTGAGTTTTTTTCGTGTACGGAAATCAGTAGTATTTGGGAAGGCAACACAAATGGCATTCAGGAGGTCTAGGGTTCAATTCCCACTGTCCTCACGTATTCGCTGGGCAAGCCCACAGTCGGGGGGCCTGATTCTTCTCCAGCACACACACTTGATCTCCATATCCCAAAACAATTGAGTTCTTTTCCTGAACGGAAATCAGTGGGATTTGGTAAGGCAACACAATTGGCATTCAGGAGGTCTAGGGTTCAAATCCCAGTGGCTTCATGTATTTGCAGGGCAAGCTTGGCGCCCACCACCGACCGATCTGTCGTTGGCCCCCCACGAGAGGGACTTGAGCAGCCACTGCTGATGTGGGTGTAGAAGGAGGGGACCGGAGGGGACACACAGTGATCGACCCATCGGAGTAGGTCGGTCCTGATGCTATCGGCTGACCCCTGGCTGGTATCACTCACCCTTTAGGTCGGGAGCAGCCTCCACACTTTCCCTCGTTGGAGGCCTGAACTCAGGCGAGTTCTGGCTGTGCTATGGGGTTCCCAGTCATAGTATAATGATAATAAAAAGGACCTGGAAGGTCGCGTGCCGTCCCAATTCGACAGGTAATTGAAAGAATTAGCTCGTAAAACAAACATAAAAAGGCAACCTTTGCCACTACAAGAGTGATTCCCCTCCCTAGGGTGGGTGTGTGACCGCAGCCAGCAGCCCTCACGCTTACTCCGAACAGACTCTACCTACCAATTCTGCCGCGCCCGAGTGACGAGAAGAAGAAGAGTGATGCGGCGCGTTATGCCACTTCTGTGTTTTAACAGTGTTTTAACAGCAGGGACGCTGGACCCGCTTTCCAGCAAGTGCTGCTCCCCACTAATAGATGGAGCCATCCAGAACTGGGTCTCTGCTAATGGGGGATGCTCCTATCACCTCCAGTAGCATAATCCAGGACGGCGATCCCCCCAATTGGCATTAAAAAGCAGTGTCTGCTGATGTTCCTAGGGGGAGGGGTAATCGGGGGGAGGCACAGCGACTGGCCACTCAACTCAGATGATGCTCGGTCCCCCTCTGCTACCGGCCGTCCCCAGAACTGGGTCTCTGCTAATGGGGGATGCTTCTATCACCTCCAGTATCATGATCCAGGACAGGGCGATGTTTAGGGGGGGAAAAAAAAAGAAAAAAAAAAAAGGAGCATCACGCCGACCGAACAGTAGTACGGCGCGCTATGAAATCGAATTTGGACTCCAGCTACAAAACCAAAAAACGCACACAAACAAAAAAAAACAACGCGGCGCGTTATGCCACAGATTAGGAAAAAACAAGGACGGCCACAGTTTAGGAAAAAACAAGGACGGCATCACGCCCCGTTTAGGCAAAAACAAGGATGGCATCACGCCCCTTTTAGGAAAAAACAAGGACGGCTACAAAATGACACAACAGAGATCAAAAAAGCAAAAGCTGAAAAATGAAGTCGATGGTTCTCAAATAACTAGAGATCCTCTCTCTCTCTCTCTCTCTAACGTTTTTTTTTTTTTTTTTTTTTGTGGTTTCGCATATGCACTACTCTCATTCCTTGCAAGTACATTAATTTTAGATGATGTGGGCCTGAGAAAAAACCAGTGCTGCCATTGGACCAAAAGTGTGGCAAGAGAGACGGGCGAGGTCTCTCACTCATGGTATCAGTAGAGATAGCAACGGACTACTGTCAGTCTGTCGTCGTCATCTATTTCTTTATCGTTACACACCCCGCACAAAACTATTCCACGTCTATATAAACTCCTCTGCACTACTCTTGAAATGCACAAAAGACAAAAACCATGGCCGTGTATCTTTCCATATTCTAGCGGAAGATTCACTCTCGTTTTGCACATTTCGAGACTGGTGCAGCGAGGCCCTATCTAAACTCTTTCTCTCTCTTACGCGCAGCCCATGCCTCTCTCTTCCCTCCCCTCTTCCCTATAGCAGAGCTCGTTTCACAGCTCATTTCTCGACCCACACGCATTTCCACACCCGCCCTCTGCTTACTCGCTCCCACCCATTCTCACGCAGCCAAACGCGTCTCCACACAATCCCAACCACTCTCACCCGTTATAGCAGGCCGACGCTACCGTACAACTCACCAAGAGAACGTCTGTAGTCGTTGTGACCGGATAGACGCCTTAGTGACTTTCTTTTTTTTTTTTTTTTTTTTGACGCCTTAGTGACTTTGACATATTCGGCGGCTGAGAGGTCACGACGGTCCTGAATCTCTGACGCTCTGACATGGAGGGAAACGCTCTGTGACATGGAGGGACCTTTTTTTTTCTTCGGGCGACCCGTCTGACATGGAGCGAAACCCTCTGACATGGAGAGAAACGCGCAAAGGAATGCGACCCGAGGTCGTGCAATGCAAAAGAGGAAAACAGCCCACGCCCCACGTCAGCGACACACACCGGTGCACAGCAATGCATCTGGTCGGTCTCTCCCTACTCTCTCAACCCCCTCTGCGTTCTCCAATCGAGTACAACTCAGACGTGGACACGTATGACCGCGCAAAATGCAGCCAGAGAGTCGAACGATTCCGACTCCCCGCGTATAGACTCTCCTGCCGTCCGCACAAGGGGGCATACACTACCATCTTCCCCCCGATTACAACGCGCACCCTGACTCTACCTTCTTCCCCCGAATACAACGCACGGTCATGATGGCTCTGTATTTTTTAACTGAAAGATGTTCCTCGCGTGAGGTAAGATAGAAATGGAGTGGGGGTGCCCCAGGAGATATATATCGAGAGGACTGGTGGGATGGGAGTCTCGTGAGTTCAAAAAAAAAAAAAAAAAAACAATGCCGCAAATAGAGCTATAATGACCGTACGTTGTCTTCGGGGATCAAAAGGTAGGAATGTTCGGGGACGACCAACAGATTGTAATCTTTTTCCCGACATGGGTGCCCCTCCTCGGCGGAAGACGGCAGCTTATGGCCGGACACGTCGTCACATCAATAATACGCATTTCATCTCTCCCTCCTTTCTCTCGCTACAGCTTGTGATCTTTTCTCACCTCCTCTCTCAAATTGCATGGAGATACACCGAAACGCACACCGAAACGCCGACCATTAACAATACATATAGACGCTAACACGCCAGGCATCTCAGTGACGTTTGGCTTCTTCCCTTCCCTCTTGCACGCTCATTTAAGACACAACTCGACAGCATCTTGCGTTTGCGGAATTGCGATTCCCATGAATGTCTACGACTACGCTCCACCCTCACCATCCGCAAAGATTTTGAACGCATCTGTACATTCGGTTCGACCAGGTACGTTTAAAATCTTGTAGAGAGAAATTCAAAACCTTGGCGGACGGCGATTGATTCATCTTCATAGGCCCTTGGTATACATGCGAGACCAGCACACGGATACCGCCCGTCTGCACGCACCGTGGGCCTCCCTCCACCTGCTGCTACTCTATATGCACACATCTGGTACCCACACCGATACCCAGTGTCTTCACCATGACGATGGGTGAGCGCGAATCGGCTGAGTCGAACGAATCTAATCAACGATGCAGCCCAGATTCCGGTCCAATTCGTTTAGTCAATCGAACCCTACGGCGCAGTGGCACTGATGGAGAGAGAGGAGTGAGGAGTTTGATCATGCTTCGCCGATTATTCGCCGCCGCCAAGTTTACGACCTTGGTCATGCAGAAGATTATTTCCTTCTCCCCAGCTTGCAATTTCCACAGATGTGGGGTCTTACTCCATCCATCCATTCCATCCCCACCATTCTACGCTGCACAACAGACAATGAACGAGTGTGTATTTCCATGACCGAACGGAATATGCATATTCTCATTTGGCATATTTCGTACGAGGCGGAGGGCGAGAGTCCCATCGTCTTCACAAAGATGTTGCTAAGTGTTCTTCCTGAGAACAGCAAGAAGGATGTCAAGGACAAGAAAACTATACATGCCAACGAGGAAAGTTATGGGATAAGAAAACCGTACATGCCAACGAGGAAAGTTATGGGACAAAAAAAACATACATGCCAACGAGGAAATCAGAAACAAACAGTTCTTCAAAATCTTCTTCGCGCGTACGACGCAGGTGGAGAGAAGCAAAAGCCAAAAGTTCCAAAACAGTATTGTAATTGAAGTGTTTAATGGCCTCACTGACTCTCGAAATGTGCAAAACGAGTGAATCTTACGCTAGAATATGGAAAGATACACGGATTTTTGTCTTTCAATAGCTACATAGACACATAGAACGTCTATGCATGTCGAGAGTAGTGCAGCGAGGCCCTAAGGCAGCATATATAAAGAGAATGGAATAAGAGGAACAAATGCAAAGCAGAAGAGAAGAGAGAGTAAGGCAGGCAGCCAAGAGAGAGAAAGAGAAGAAAAAACATAATGCACATATGAGAAGATGAAACAAGAAATGAGCAAAGAGAGAGAGGAAGAGGGAGAGAGAGAGGAACATGGGAAAGTGGAGACGTGAAAAGCAGTCGTTAAAAAAAAAAGACAGCAGGATACCTACGTCGGAGAAAGACAAACGAGTAATTCAAGAGTAGAAAGGGCGGAGGGAAAAAGGAAAGGAGAAGGATGACGATAAGAAAAAGAAGAACAAGAGAAGAGCATGCAACGCATATAAAAAATAGGGGGGGTCAAGATTGAAAGAGAACTATTCATAGGGCCTCGATCTGTCTTACTCGACATCAACATGCATTTGGTCGCTTTCGAGACCAGGTACGTTCGGACGACATCAAAATAGTTACATGCATTCGACGATTACGAGCTCCAGCTACATAGCAAGTGTACTGCAGTGGACCGAGGGCCTTAATACATTACAGAAGGAGAACACTGAGGCACACGAAGAGGGTGTGTTATAAAAAAAAAAAAAAAAAAAAGAGGCACTCGAAGACAGACATTCACGTACTCTGTCATGACAGAAACAAACAAAAAAAAAAAGAGGCACACGCAGAGGACAGACATTCACGTACTCGGTCGAATCATGGACAGAAGCTATGATCTAAAAAGATATGCTTCGAGGTTGACAAAGGGTCACAAAAGACCTCTTATCTCATCATCTTGTCACACAAGACAGAGTGCAAATAATGTGCACGCACGTGCGCCTAAAACGTATCATCATCGAATGCCACGTGTCACCGACAATAAACAGTCTTCTTACATCCTCAAGTAGTCTTCAGCGGCTATACCAATGCCTGCACCGGTCTGCCTGAATTAACACACTCCCTTTCTCAGTACACAAAGTCATGACTCTCAAGCGAGCGCTCCCTTCCTATTCTTAAGGCTTATTAAACACTAACAACAATACAAGCGACCAGCCACACCGACCGCATCATCAGTTCTCGGGCCCAAGTCAATCCTCACACCCTCTTTCTTCGTCATAACGTCAACCGGGATCGCACAGCGCTCCCCTCCGTATACACAACGGCTTGCTCTAGCATTGCATGCCCTCGATAACCAAACGAGGGATTCAACGACATCTACAGCACCATACCAAGAGCAGAAACCCTGCACGCCACACACACCAGTCAATTTTCTTCAACTCCTAGGATCCTTCTCCATTTCTATCCCACTCCCACCGCCTACCCATATCCATACCTCTTCCACTGCTCGGCTGACAGACGTCCATACTCCTACAAAGTTCGGAAATGAGGGCATCAGCCAGAGAGCAACCCCGCCAGGATGCATGCCGGTGACGGGGTAAAAAATCCCTCCATCCTCTCCCAGCTCCTTCCTCCTCTCCGCTTTCGAGCCTCCTCCGTCTCCCCCCCAACCCCCCCCCCTCACGCTCGCCTAATAAGGTCATACGGCCTTCGCAGTGGCAACCATGGCTGGTATCGCAATGATCTGTCCCACACATGTCACGCACAACACACCTACAACGACCACTCGCCGTGAGAGACCGAAGCAGTGGAAATCGCTACACGCACCAAGTCACCGACGACACGAATTTCCAAAAACGATGTAAAACTTCTCCCACTCAATTCACTACCACGAGCTCGACCAACTCCAGCCCCATCCTTGCCTCATCAGACGTTGAGAGAAAGCGCTCCCGTCAGCTCGACACCATCCCACTGACAAACACTTCCATATTCATGCACGCAACCGTTCAATGAATCTCCGCCCTCGCCTGGCATTTTTCTCGCTCCGTCACTCAATATTCATTCAGGCGATCTTTCCCCGCCCCGAATGTCCTTCCTCTGCAACTCCCCGCAGGCGACCACCCATTCCAACACGCAGAAGGCGCCAGAAGCAAAGCGTCCGGCGGGTAGGGACTGGAATACCTGCCAAGCAGTCTCCGGCGGGCACGGACTGGAATACCTGCCAGTATGCGACAGCAGCTGGGTTCAATTCCTCGTCGGTTCGGCGAAAAAAACTGAGAATCCAGCATTAGTCCATCTTGAGATACCAAGTGAACCTAAGCACGATGAAAGTAAACAACAAAGCGAATGCGCGTGTCGAATGAAAGCGCAGCAGTCGATGGGAAGTCCCCGATGACGAGTTTCACGACAGAGTCCTGTCACAACCGAAGAGCTCGCGGAGAGGAAAACGGACACGCGGCATCAACTGCGGGGCCCCCCCCACTATGCCCCCAGACAACCAAGCAGGTCAAGAAAGATAAGAGAGGAAGCAGGCAGCAGAGACTCCGCCCCCCTCCATCCCCCTCCCTCCCACCTCCCCACAAGGCCATACGAATACCCCAACAGAATAGACGAACCCGACAAAGCAAACACCCACCTCTCATAAATAAACACTGCACTCTCACTCCAGCGCAGAGGGAGGCACGATGGAAGACCTGGAAAGAAGCAAGAGACACCCCGAGAAAGAACCTGGAGACGAATGCTGCACGACCAGTACGCCATCGAGGGATACAGAAACATGAACGCATAGATGGGCCGCGGAGGCGAGCAGCCTTACATAAATAAACTACCGAACACGCACACTACTCTCTGTAGCTACCCAAAGCGCACACTGTAGATTCAAAGGGGAGGGAGGAACGATTACTTAAGCGAGAGGCACTGAACGATGTCGCACTCGCTATAGAGCAAAAATGAAAAAAAAAACGACTAAGACCTGGGAATGTGCCGCCGCCGCTCAACAAAGCTAAGACTCGTAACATAACGAGGACACCAACAAACCGACCTTCATGTGAAAACGACGCGAACCGACGATCATGTGGAAACGAGAAGAACCGACGGAAACAGCTGAGAGACGAGATCGCAGCCTTTCTTTCTAATGAATGACTTCAACAATCAACGAATCACTTTCATTCGTCAAACATCGAATACACGTACGTCCTAGTATACGTGTAGCCGCCAATACGGTCGTACACAAATGCGTTCGGTAAATATTTCACAAGCTATCGTAGTAAAAGCCAAATAAACGGGCAGAGCGAACCGACGCATAAAACGATCCCCTCGCCTCAACATCTTTCCGTCACTTCACTTTATTATCCTATCTGCTTGAACCTGGGTCACTATATGTTGCTGCTACTTGGTCGACTTTATGTTGCTGCTACTTGGTCGAAGACGACAGTCAACAACTCGCGAGCTAGTGTCTCTTACACACTACCGCTCAAGGACGGAACTCCATGACAGGGACAGAACGTCAAATAAAGAAACTCTACACACACCCGTCAAAAGGACGCCATCCCGTCATACATTCCCCTTCACGTTGGACAGGCGCAAACACGGTGCCGTTTCCTTCCACACGGGAGGGGAGAATTATCAAATGCAAAAGAGAAGAGAACAGCAGCGCACCACCCGCCTCGTCAATAGAACATCTCTTCGACAAAAGAAACACCTTTCCATGAAACTTGCACCGCATGCTCCTCGAAAAGGCGCAAACACGGCTCCGTTTTCCACACGGGAGGGAGGTTTCTCCATGCAAGAGAGAAGAGAGAGAAAACACAACCTCCCTTCGTCAAAGAACAACCTCCTTCGGTGCTCCTCGAAAAGGCGCAAACACGGCCCCGTTTTCCACACGGGAGGGGAGGTTTCTCCATGCAAGAGGAGAGAAAACACAACCTCCCTTCGTCAAAGAAGAACCTCCTTCGCCAAAAGAAAGACTCTCAAGGAACATCTTCTCATTCATGCTCCTCAAATCCCACCTGTCCGCAGTTGAGCTCTGGACAGCCTCTCGCGCTGTCCGCAGTTGAGCTCTGGACAGCCTCTCGCGCTTATTGAAGAGACAAACCGTGCTCCTCAAATCCCAACCGTCCGCAGTTGAGCTCTCGACCGCCTCTCGCGCTTATTGAACAGAGAAACCTCTTCGGACTTAAGAGAGAAAAAACATTTTCCGGCGACATCAACGTTCCTCGAAGCTACAAGCAGCCAATCGTTGTGCTTCACAGACTTCCCTCGTCGAAGGCAAAAGAGAACTTGGACCGAAGATGAAGCATCTACGGCGGGACTCGCATACTCCTCAGAGCCTCCGAGCAAATCCGGCGTAGCGTTGCTCGCTCGCTCCTAGTCCCCCCCGCTTCTCTGAGCCGAGATGCGAACTACATAATTGTAGTTCCCCATTGTTTTCCTTATTTTCCCCTCCCCCTTTCTCTCCCCTTCCTCTTCACTTTCCTTATTTCTTGCTCCCGACTTTACGCCAACGCACTGGACGTAAGATCGGAAACGATTATACCTTCGATGGATTAACGTAGAGAAATAGAGACGACGCCACCCCACTTACGGAACAGCAGCTCTCCCTATTCTCGTGCATCTCCCTAGAGAAGAGGCCACATCAGTTCAAGCAGGAAGAGCCACAAATCAACATAAAGACGCTTCTCTAAACAACACACGCAGGGTACAGAAGCCACTCTTAAGCAAAACACACATTGGGCTTTCGAACAAGGCCTCACCGGTTTCATTTGCCGACAACGCGATTACTCTGCTCCCTACTCTCTCTCCTCCCTACTCCTAACATCCTACCACTCGCGGTTACTATTCTTCTTCATCTTCTTCTTCTTCTTCTTCTTGTCCTTAATGAACTTCCTGCGCTTATTCCTCTTGTCCTCTACCCTCTTCCGCATACTTCCTGTGCTTATTCCTCTTGTCCCCTACCCTCTTCCGCATCTCATTACCTTCGATAGACTACAACCGCGCCTGGAAAATCCGTGGCTAGGAGAATGCACACACAATCGAGCAAGAAAGCAGCCAGCGTCACAAGGCAACAGCGGGGCCTACGTCGACAGGACAACAAATCCACTTCTATCGCTCATCTATCTCCATCTATCTCCAACGAGACTAAGTACCCACCCTCGGCTAACAACTACATAATCCTCCCACCTACCTAACTGTAGTCGCTCAGCAAGTCCATGCCGAAAGCGAAGAAGCTGAGCCCTTGGAAGAGGAAGATGTAGAAGTGGATGCCCTTCTCGATAGCAAGCGATTGAATGGCGGCCAGGAGGAGGAAGAACGACATGAACAGCTCTCTCTTGAAGACCTTGATGCCCTTCTTCTTCGGCTTGTTCGCGGTCTCGTCCTTGACCTTCGCCAAGGCTCCAACTTTGGCAGTCACGATCCACTCGTTCACTCTACCGAAGTTCAGCAGACCCTGAATGTTGGCGCTCAGCTTGATCAACACCATGGTGTTCTCGAAAAACAAGTACGGGAACATGTACGGGAACAGACTCGGGCACAAGCACATTCTAAAGATCGACAAGAACATGGGGAACGTGTACGTCACCCAGATAGGAATGGTGGCCTCGGGGACAAAGAGAGAGAGAGGGAGCAGGACGACAAACAAGAGGAAATTGACGGTGGGAACGAGGAGCCGGCGAACGAAGAAGAAAACAACAATGAGGTGGAACTTCTGGAAGAAGGTGAGGCTCGGCGTGCGCACAATCTTGCCTGCAAGAATACGGAACAGGTTCATGGGTCCAGCGTGCCACCTGTGTTGCTGGCGCGTGTACGCTTCCAGAGTCTGCGGCAACTCGCACGGCACTCGGATGTGGTTACAGAAATTGAAGTGATAGCCGCAAATGTGCGCCCGGACAGCGATGTCCATGTCTTCGACCGTGGTCCTCACATCCCAGCCTCCGGCGTCGTTCACCGCCGTGATTCTCCAGATACCGCCCGTGCCGTTGAAGCCAAAGAAACCCATCGTCGCGCCCATCACCTGCTGTTCCACTTCAAAGTGATACGACATGTTGATGAACTGGAACCGGGTAAGAAGGTTGGTGAAATGGTTGGAGTACTCCCATCGAGTCTGCACGAGAGCGAGCTTGGGGTCGTCCTTGAAGTACGGCACGGTTTGCAACAACCAGTCGGGCCGAGGCTGGAAGTCGGCATCGAATACGGCCACGAACTCGCAGTCCTTGACGTAAGGAGCGAGCATGCCTTGCTTCAGGGAGCCTCCCTTGTACCCCGTTCGGTCTACACGATGACGGTAATCGATGTTGACACCTCGGCTCTGCCACTTGCCCACCTCCTCCTTCACCATCTCCTTGATCTCCTCGTTATTGGAGTCGTCAAGCACTTGGATGATCAGCTTGTCCCGAGGCCAGTCCAACTGCGAGCACGCGCCGATGGAGATTTGGTAGCACTCCCTCTCGTTGAACATGGGAATTTGAATCAAGACCCTCGGATACGCGTCCGTCTTGCTCGTCAGATTGCCCGAAGAGTCTTTTGAAGGCCGATAGGGAGGAAGAGGAGTCACCTTCTTCGCTCTCCATCCCGTGAAGGAGAAGTAGAAGGAGATCAGACTCATCAGCAACGTGTCCATCGATTGCACCGCGAACACGATAATTAGCACATTGATAACGGCCTGCAAGCCAGGAGCGATATACCGGCCCCGGAAGGAGGTGAAAGCCTCGGTCAAGACAGCGAATACTTCCGCCACGCGCGTGAATGGGTACGTCATAACCTCCAACACACCGGCCACAGCCGGGGCATCAGAGTAACTAAGGAGAAGCATCACGAGGAAAAGGATGCAGATACCGAACGTGAACGCCTGAAGCGGACTCCTCTTTGAAGGAGGAGGCTTCGTACCGGTCTTCCCCATCGAATTGGAGCGGAACGACCGGTCGACAATCGACATCACCAGCCATCTCGGAAGAAACGACCGCAACAAGCGACCGCCCAGCAGCCTCAACGAGCGCTGCTTCTCCTTATGCGCTGGAGGGTATCCCAATAACCCTCCCCGACTCTTGTCGTCATAGTCCCCAAGTACGGAAGACTTATTGTAAAGCGCCATTTTGCTCGCACGCTATGACACACTACTTCTCCAAGATGCAAGATCACAAACAGGCGAATCCGACCCTCGCACAAGCGCGAGGAAGATAGAGATAGGTGGACTGAGAAAAGAAATGCTCGTCTCGTCTATCCGATTATTAATAACTTAACTCTGCTAACATACTCGCGAACAGAGGGACGAAGATGGCTGAAAAGACGAAGAGCGAATAGGCGAAGAGAATGCTACGGCATAGTAAAGAGGATCATTAGCGGACGCGATGACGACCGATGAGCAGAAGCGAGCAAGACATGGTCGAGCATTCGCCGCCGCGGCACCCGTCTTTCCCGTCTCTACCTCCCTCCGCCTCCCGCCGGTCATTGACAGCTGCACATACCAAACAACGGAGGCAGACGTCAACGCGCGAATGCCGTTGACATCGACCGGTTACTACTGCGCCGCAAATGATTCCATCCAAACCCTGACCCTCGAGCACCACCTTTCAGCCCGCTCCCTTTTCAGTCGCTCCCGTTCTGTCCGTTCCGCGACACTCCCGTCCTCTCTCTCCTTTTCTCTCCCATTCTACCGCTAACCGTGAAGGTTGTAGACGATGCCAGTCCGCGCCCCTCTTCCAGGGATGAGCCGTGCGCGTCGACTGCAAGAGTCGACGAGCCTGCCCAACCCCGGAAAAAGGACGGGGAATGAAGCCGGAGACACTCCCTTTCTCTACAGCTCCAGTTACGCCAACCCCCTTCTTTGTTCTCCACGGACCTTCACTCCCCCACCCTACGCGCTCTCTGAGATAAGCTTTCCTGTCCCTTGCCGCCCACATATAAAGTAGTCAGTCAGAAGAGTATATACCCGATGACCGACTCCAAAGGAGGTAGTCCCACCCTACAGCAAAAAACACTGGAGCCAAGGGCGCCCTATCGTAGGGCACACCGCGTGCCACACATACTTGCCATAAACGACGACCGCACACACCACACACACACACACACAGAAGACCCGACAGAGCCACGAATACCGCCGAGGCTGGCGAACCAGGTTTCTCGGTGAACCGGATTCTGCCGAGCCTCCTGCGAAGGGCTCCCGGTGGCGGCGCGGCGCGGCGCGGCGTGGCTTTGCTACACCGTGGAATGGGAAACTGTCGCGAACAGGCTTTATATCTGCTCTACGGCACAGGCACCGTTCGATTACCATGGACAGGATGATCTTACGGACATTTCACCAGTCAACTCATTTGTTTTGGTTTTGCGAACGGCTGGGGGGGAGAAGCGCGGACAGAACCCATGGTCTCGCCTGCCCGGCCAGCCTGGATTGCTCATCTCTGACTGGCTGTAAATCTCGGGAGGAATCGACGGCCAGGAGTGATCAAGGATTGCACTAAAGCAGGACCGTGGCCCAAGAAATGAAGTGAAGGCTTGGATCCACAAAGCCGGCAAAGTACCTAATACCCAAAAAGTCGTGTCATCCCGACGGGTTCGTAAAAACGAATCCGTCCAGATCCCATGGGCTCGTCGAAGGGAAAGGAACTTCTGCACGAATGTCGCCGTCTGCACGGATGTCGCCGAGTTGCACTGGGTCCCACGGTACCGCGGACATCGAACGGCCAACGGCCACGAACTGACAGCGGAAGAGAAGAAAAAAAAGAGAGACCAAATTTGCACGGCCGCCTACTTTCAGGGTGGGGTGGAGGGGCTCGGGCGCATTTGGAAATTCATTCAGGAAACCCCTCCCGCGCTGCCATGAAGGAGGCCCAGAGAAGAAACAGCCGAATTATCGAGGTCCGCTCGCCGCAGAAATGTGGGGGATCGCTTTCTTTTTCCCGAAACTGCCTCTACTATAACGATTGTGGAATGCAAGCCGAAGGCGCCGGCTCAAAAGAGAACGGGGGGGCGCCAAAACCACCGCATCCATGTACTCTAGAGATGACGGCGCCCTGTTGGATACGATCCAAGGGTCCATATATCTCTCCTCTCATTTTTTCATTGCATGTTCCAAGGGTCCATATCTCTCCTCTTATTTTCCCAGTGCATGAAGTTTGTGTTCAGTGGGCCTCGCCACACTCCAAATTGAGTTGAGAACGTATCCCCCTCTAGAACGTCCACAAAATGCACCTTCAATATCTTTTTGTCCTTTTCGAGTGGTGCGGAGGCCCTATCTCGCCACGCACTGTTGACGGAGGCATCAGAGTGCATGTAGAATAACGAGTAGTGGAGCGAGGCCGGTACCGTAATACAAGACATGCAACGTGCCGTGATATAGGCTCGAGAGGTCATGTGTCCGGCATGGAAGAGCTCAAAGTGTGGACTTAATGAAACCAGTATCAAAACTGCAAGTCAAGGGGTTATGTCCTTTCTTCGAGTCTCACATGCGTTTTCTTTTCTTTTTTTTTTTTTTTTTCAGAAAATTCAGAAGTTTCAGAAGTTTCGGAAAATGAGATCAATGAGATACTGGCTGCCAGCATTGACTGCCCCAGTGAAGCTGGGGGGTTAACTGAGCAGCTGATAGCAGATAGCTTGACACTGAAACTGAAGGATAGCAAAGGCCTCCCCAGGGGGCACCAGGGAGGAAGCCGCATGTAGGCCCAGATTTGGAGGGGATCAGTTCTCATGCTCAAAAAGGGATTTCTGCCAGGGATAGGGCATGGGGTGGGAAAGGATCTGGGAAATCTGCGAAGGGGCGTAATGGAAGCGAGGGTTCTATATTTGTCCAGTCCTTAAAAACTAGCCGGTAGTTCCTCGTTTCTCCCAAATCCTGCAAGTCTCCTCCTTGTTCGCCGCTCCATTCTACTTTTGTGATCCATACTTCCCTTTCTCCCCCTACCCAGTCTGTGCAGAATATTGTAATTCGTTTTCTGATGTCTGTCGTCTGGCTGAGGAGGTTCAGTTGTGCTTTAGTAAATGAAAAAAAATGAAACAACTTGACGGCTGAGTTGTTGAGGTTATGCCAGCTGGCCTGAATCGACGAACCCGTCGACCGGGCCCGAAGATGACGTAGATTTTCCATGGATTTTTTCCTCTTGTCTCATTTCGCTTGTTGCCTAGCGAATTTGAGGACCACGGGTAGTCGTCTAAACTTTTTTGCCTAGACAAGAAGATGGGGACAAAGAGAATACAAAGTAATGGAGGAGATAAGCAGCATAAGGTTTTTGCGAGCAAGCTCAAACTGCTGGCCCCATTTTGCAACTGAAGCCTATTGTAGAGCAAGTGGGGTCATGCGGAACTCTTGAATTTTCACGAGCTTAGAGGAGCGAGACACCTTGTCCCCATCCTCCACAGAATTCAAACACGGCGCACGTTTTACTTACTTCTTGAAATGAAAACCATTGGACAAAATATACAGGGCTATCACCTTCTCTGGCAAAACTTTCCAATCTTTTCTAATTTGCTTGGATGGTATTTACAGCCTAATCCGTATTCGCTCGGCAAGGTTTGTCAAAAAAGGGAAAAGGGGCAAGGTTGCTCCTCCACTCACTTAACACGCTGAATGGGTTGTTGCTCCACCACCTCAGAAAGACCCTCCTGTCAGACGACCGGTTTTCTCCATGCACGCGAAATGGGTTATTGCTCCACCACCTCAAAACGACCCTCCTGTCAGACGACCGGTTTTCTCCATGCTGCGTGGTGCATGGGGAGCACTTACCACGACCACCATTTTCCCACCTGCAAAGGCAGGGTTGTGATGCCTTTTCTCTGGGGCTTCCGAAATGTGGTCTACCCCTGCATGCACATCGTCCCTACCAACTGAAGGGGCACATCCTTATGGTTAGAGTGTGAGTTTGGCGAGGTGTTAGGAGCTATGACTTTAGTTTGGTGAGGATTCGTCGCGGCGAGCACTTGGTGGGACAAGGCCCTAAACCATTAGTACTTCCTAAGCACTTTTCCCCTATGCAAAGTTGTCCCGCACCAATGCCTATTGGGTCTGAACGAGGCTGATACCAATAGCTGGAAAATTAGAGTCTCACTAAGTAACAACCTCTATCTGTATCATGATTCTGTCTCTGTCCATACAAGAATTGATGTACGCCCCATTCAAATGCTTATTTTGTATTGTCTACCTTAGAGGCGCAAGGACTAAGCTTCGTCTATGTTTCTTTTTGCGGGGAGAAGAGAAAGAGAGAGAGAGAGAGAGAGAGAGGGTGGGGGGGAGAGAGAGAGAGAGAGAGAGAGAGAGAGAGAGAGAGAGAGAGAGAGAGAGAGAGAGAGAGAGAGANGAGAGAGAGAGAGAGAGAGAGAGAGAGAGAGAGAGAGAGAGAGAGAGAGAGAGAGAGAGAGAGAGATTTGTCCTCTTTTCGTATGCACCTTTTCGTGAATGTGAATGGGTAGTAAGCTTCAAGTTGTAACCACCCTAAACTTTGACAAATTCGTAAGTACAAGTGCATAACTTTTTCCAGTGGCATGTCATTATAACTACACTTTGAGATCCTCACTTAAAAAACTTTACAACTTGGGTCCTCACGAAGCAAAGGACCGATTCTTTGAATTTCAAGGATACTGGTATGTGCACCAATTAAATATGGTTCCTCCACAATTCATCGTCAAACTTCTAAACCCCTCTATACCCCTTACTGGGTGGTCACTCGCAGTGAAAATTCATACTGCCTTAACACAAATGTGGGAAAACCACTACATCGCAGCCTTAGGACTTCAAACAAGTTGCTGACCGCCGACAAGCAAAGCTACTAACCACGGTCAGATGTTCAAAATCGGACAACCTAAAAAAAATACATACCTTTCAAGACTTTTGGCATTTTTTTTACCCTGGAGTCACAAGGTATAACCGGTCCTTTGCTTTTCGAAGATACCGTTTTTATTGTCGCTCCAATCAAAATACGCAGAATCAGTCCAGTATAACTTTTACCAACGTAATATCCCCTTTTTGAAGTAGTCACATACTTTGAAAATTTGAGTCACGATGATATAAACGTGATAACCCAATATACCACGGTCATATAGAGATATATAGTATCAGTATACAAAGTCAATGTAATATTGATTGTTTTGGTGAAATAAGTGGACTGACAGTTCATGAGCATTAAAAAATAAATAAATATATATTTTTTTAGTCTTAAATGAACACATATATAAAATAAAAATGTTTTAAAATTTTATATTTTGTCATTGAGCTACTCACCCTCCGTGTGTCCTAGTAAGATATATATAACAATTATCCACAAAAAGAAAAACACAAAGAAATGGTAACATCGGTCTTTATGGAAATGAACATTTATGTTTGTTTGGTCAACAAAAGACAAATGGATAAATTTACACTCGATTACATCTTTCTTCACTTTTCTAATTGCCTTCAACTTTAAATTACTCAACCACTTTGTTTTGAAGTTCTTTATCATAATCCCCCCCCCCCCCAACCCCATTAGGTTCGTATGATCAGTTGATTTTTTTCATTGTTGATTATCACTTTATTAATAATTTAAAATGAATTAATATTATAATTTTCTCATATATACAACACTCTCTTCTTCATGGGTACATCTTCTGACCCACATGCCTCATAACTACTTTCTTGGCTAGGTAGAATGAATTGATTACAACAGAAAAATTCCCACGAAAAATGGAAGTTGAAAAAACATTCCATAAAAAAAAAATCCTTCATATTTATAAATTATCATTCCAATGTTCGTCCAATTCTAAAATTTCCAGTTTTATTTGATAAGTTCCCATATAATATGAGTTTTCCCTTCCAACTACATCTATTTGTTCAAAATGGAATAAAAATCTGGACGAGTTTATGAAATGTTTTAATTA